GAAGAAGACTAGCAGTAAGCAGTCGAAACGTCGCGATCTACATCTCAAGTGACTACATCGTGAGAGAAACAATAATACACTTTATTATTGCATCTACCACGATGAATAACAACAACCTTTTCCTTGACAGTAAGATCTTTTTTTAATTTAATTTTATTGAAACAGAGAAGCTGATCGGCGATGCAGCTCAATCTTCTTCATCATTGGAACCCTCCTCGACAGCTACTTCTAGATGCTGGATCTCATGCTCAACAATCTTGATCTCAGCTTGTTTGGTCTCTAGAGACTTTGCCAATTCTTGCAGTCTCTGACGAATGTTGTTTCTTTGCTTCACAAGTTTTGAACAAACAGAGTTTTCTTGCCAGCCTAATGCGAGCTTGTGATCTGGATATGCTGCTACCAGGACCTGGTGAACACACCTTTTGTTCTGGTTTTGTTCCATCTTCAATCTGCTAAATCTATGTTCAGAATGACAATGCCACTTCGGCAAATTTATAGTTTTACTTGGTGAGGCCTGAGTGGGGCCAGAGTGAAGAAATAGAATTGACATAACTAAGGTATTCTTAACCCACCTCAGTCATGCAATGAGGGAAACCCCCGTCTTTTGTTTTTCAAATCTATCCAGCTGTAACTGTTGACCAGCTGTTTCCTTTTTTCCTTCAGGAAACATCTCTTTGTTCTTCCTCGTTTTGGGTCCGTTTTTTTTCTCTAAGAAAAGATGGAATGTGCTATTTTTATTGAAAAACTCACCTTCACATCAATTGCAGACACATGCTTAGGAACAACAAAATCCAAACCACAACATAGCTCAAGCTTTTGGAAAAAGTTAAGCTTGAACAAAGAGATACAGTCATGTACATGTATTAATGATTTGTTCATCGACGCCCTTCTCTCCGGATAGTGGAGTGTCCAAGACTTCTTGAGCTTATTGAGCTGCAATATGTAGTTTACTTTCAAGATTAACTCCTGGCACCCTTTGGCTTCATCTTGGCACTTGTGGCCAACTACCTGTTTGCAATTATTTGCTGCAGCCACTGCTTGCTCATGGGTTTTTTTCTCCTTGGAACCCTTCTTCCATGGACAAACAGCCAGCTCAAGCTGGTGCATGTACTCCACATGACGTAAGCTAGAGTAGATCACTGGAGATAATCATCTATGATCCAGATCTTTTGTGAGTTATAGATGGCGAGGCCCTGGCTCAAGCTGACCGTCATTGCATAGTCTAGCCCCCAGTTGTCAGTTCTGATCAACCTCTCAGCTGGCTCAATCTCAACCTCTACAACATCTTCTCTACACCTCATGACCAGAAAAGGGACCATAATGTTCTATTTCTGACTGTCCTTGGGGTGGTAAAGAAGAGGCGCCTTGGTGTCTGGAAAATCTTTACTGTGCTTTTCAAACAACAAAGCCTGCACCCGGTTGTGCACCTTCTGTCGGCTTATCAAGATGAGGTTGTTTGGCTACCAAGCTCCAACAAACCTATCCCATCCTAGGCATCTTGGCAGAGCCTTGCAGAGGTGGATGGGCTTTTTCAAGTCTTAGCACAAGGTTGGTGTGATCTATTTCTCTGATTGGGTGCAAACTGTACACAACTGGTCATTCCCTGCCAATGCACCTGGCCTGGTTCCTCTTGTTTTGTAACAATTCCCTGGCCCCTTCCTACTTCTTCTCTGATTGGGTCAGTCTTCTCTTCTAGGAACCAATCTCCTTGATCCCTTCCTCACAAAAACTCTGGTCTCAGGTTAAGCTTTGCTGCTCGCTCATCCATCACATCCCCTGTGAAATAAATTCCCAGTAGTCTGGGAATTCCTAGGAATTCCAAGTTATTCCAAGATATGCAAATTATGCTTTATCCAAGACCTTGGAATTTCTGGGAATATTTGGGAATAGTGGAAGTATAACTCGGAATTATTGGGAATTCCTAGGAATTCCAAGTTATTCCAAGCCATGCAAATTATGCTTAATCCAAGACCT